TAACGAAGACTCAGAACAACACCAAATTAAGATTGCATAGGGTTCAGGAGGTGGGCTAATGATTGCAAGCATTTAAAACAGGCTTCAAACAGTTTAAGACACTTACAGGAGCGAAAAGGGAGATCGGAAAGGGCTCTTTGATCTCCGTTTCCCTTTTAAAGCTCTTTCCGATCTCCCTTTTCGCGCCTGTAAAAGTGTCTTAAACTGTTTGAAGCCTGTTTTAAATGCTTGCAATCATTAGCCCACCTCCTGAACCCTATGCAATCTTAATTTGGTGTTGTTCTGAGTCTTCGTTAATTTTTGGTGATTTTTTCTCTCTCTCATTGAAAAGCATTAACGACGACTCAGAACAACACCAAATTAAGTTTGCATAGGTTTCAGGAGGTGGGCTAATGATTGCAAGCATTAATCTGTTCCAATTGGAATGGATTAACCGGTTTTCAATTCATTCCTATGGGAAATGGTGTTTCACTTAACGATGTTTTCACATAACGATTTTTTTATGGAACCAATTAACATCGTTAAGCGAGGCACCACTGTACATTATTTTTCTCAAATAGATACAGGCTGTTTTAATAAGCAAACATTTCAGAATATGAAACTTATTTGTTGAAGCAATGTGACTTGTTGCCTCTATTCATGGCAGCAATGACTGGGTTGGACATGACATTAGGGACCGTAACTGACATGTCTGAATTTATTAAGTCTTAGAATGAGTACAATTTCAGGAGAAAACAATCTAGAATCACTTTGTATAGTATAGAGGCAGTGTAGCACTATGACAAATGTTGCATTTGTTTTTCACTAAAGATTCATTGTAGTAGCTTTTACAACTCTTTAAATCATCACAGAAAACCTAAGAGAAAAATGGAAATGAGAATAAATCTGCTTGGAAATGAGGGAAGATGCCTCTGTGTTCATGCAAGCATCAGAAGTGTACTGTTAAACAGTGCTGGATATCTAGCGATGCCTAGCAATGGTGAAAGATGGTTTTCATTAAGTGAGACTTCCTGCATATCATTACATATATTCTCAATTCTTTTTTCATTAATGAACTGAAAGAAATATTATGGTGTTTCTCAATGATATCACTAATGTGAGGGAAACTTGTTTTAGTATACAAGAAAAATATGTATTCTTTATTTGGTTAGATAATTTGGTCCAAATCAGTGCTAATTTATTGCAGTCTTAAAAGTCATTTTTAAACTATAAAAAGAGTGTTGAAATAGCTGAAATGTTAAAAAGACCTGCCACACATGACTCAGAGTATTTAAGTTAAAGGTAATAGCATTTCAGAAATACAGGCAAAGTTCATTCGGCATTCTTGTTTCAGACAGAAGTTAAATAATGCTGAATTGTTGATAGAATTATAGAACTGGAGAGCTGGAGGGGACCCTCAGGGGTCATCATTTCCAACCCCATGTCAAAGCACAAAATCAACAGCTCAAGCATCCTGACAGGTTGCCCCTTGACCTCTGTTTAAAAAACCTGCTATAAAGGAGGACTCTCCAACTCCTGAGGCAATCCATTCCACTGTCTACAGGATTGTAGAACTTAAAACATGCAGCAAGCAAAATCAGGTGGCTTGCTTGCTTGCTTTGTTTGTTTGTTTGTATGCTGCCTTTCTCCCCATAGGGGGCTCATAACATAAAACAGCAGTATAAAAACACTATATAAGTATCATATTTTTAAAAATTGAAACATACATGATTAAAATCAAGTTTAAAAACAGTACAAAACATTTAAAAACCTATAGGTTAAAAGCCAGTGTTTGTGAGATAACTTACTGTTTAAAAGCCTGCCTGAAAGGGAAGGTCTTTTCCTGACAACAGAAGAATAAGAGGGAGGGAGTTAACTTAGCTTCTCAGAGCAGTGCATGTCAAAGCCAGGGAGCAGCCACTAAGAAGGCCCTCTCTCGTATCCTCGCCAAGCCAGCTTGGGAAGGTGGTAGAAGAAAGAGGAGGCCTCCCCAGAAGATCTTAAAGCTGAGAAGGCATATATGGGGTGATACAATCCTTGGATAAGATAATAGAGAGCTCTAAAGGCTTCACAGTAAAATTACTTATGTTAGAAATGTTTTCTTAATGCTGCTGTTCCTTGACCAACTTACAGAGGTCTTTATGTTTGCTTGTTTAGGTCCCCTAGAGCCTGCGTTTAACAGATTTCACCCATTGTCAGGTATGTATTGTTAAATCTGTGCTGTTCAACAATGAACCAAAATTGTGTTAATATGCAGTTGTTTTGCAATAATATTGCATGCCATCAAATTTATTCCAGCAGCTCTTGTCAGGGTTTTCTAGGTATAGAAAATATGCAGTGTGAGACCTATTGCACCCATCACACACTGTGTATGGATTCAGTCATCCTGTTCTTGTTCACAAGAACTTGCCTTAAATCTTGAATCTGTTTTCTACATGTGGTTTTTTGGAAGTACATGTACAAAGAATGCCATAGAGAATTCCATAAGCCCTTGTGATCAGTGGGATAACAGTCAGATCCTCTTCACCTTTTTGTATCCCTTAGGAAGTAGAGGTACAAGGAATAGTTCAAAGAAAGCAGTGGCTCCTTGACAGAAGAGTAACATCAATGGCAATTATGGAGTGATGTTTAAGTTTATGAAAAGCTGGGGTGCATGTCCATTTTATTCCCCAGGGATATATGTTATCTTAGCTTGGAGGTCAGCCCCTCTCCCAGTAATTTTCTCTTGTCTCTGGAAGAAAAGAGCCTTCTCTCCGCTGTAAATCTGCATCTGAGGTTTTGAGGAGGGAGAAGAAAAGACTGTTCCCTTCGTCAGAGATCACTGTTTCCTTACTAGAGGGAGTGAAAGAAGTGTCTTCTCTGCAGCCTTCTCCCCTAGTGATCCTGATGCAGATCCCTTGCTAACCAGACTAAGAAGATAATAATCTGTGTCAAATGCAGGGTGAATTTTGCCAGGGATGTCAGGTGATCTGGAGGGTGAGTGTGTGTAAGGCCTTGGGGCTCGGGTTGTGCACCAGGCTAAATGCTGCTCATCTGAGGGTATAGGTTTTTAGGGAATAAGCTGGTACAGATTTTTGCAAATTTGCATTGACACCCAAAATGCCTTTTCCCCCTAGGTTAGAGCAGAACAAAATGTAGCCAGTGGTTCCCTGTGAGCACCTGTGCCCTTGTAGAATCCTAATGTAACACACTCACACCACAATTTCTTGATAAAATTGCTCCAACAATGCCTTTTCCTCCTGTAGAAGGGAGCACAAGGGGGATTTCTGCTATGTTCAGGGTCTCCTCTCACCTTTTCATAATCAGAGGTGAGCAGCTTTTAGGCAGCCCAAAGTGGTGAAAATGGTGGCTTTTAAATATATTTTTTAATAGGAAAAGCACTGAGAGATGTTCTAGAGCAAGTACAGGCTCCAACTGCCAGAGGTGGCCATGTGCCCACTGCCCTCTGGAAGATGGTCACTCCTCTTGTAAAGTCCTGGTCACATGACTGGGAATGCCACTGTTTTACAGAATGTTAGAGTAGTTGGCACTCTCGGGATCAGATTGAAAAACAGGGCTAAAAGTGCATGGAGAAGATCCCCACTATTTGTAATTGAAAACATTGTCTGTATATTCCCTTTTTGACACCTAGGAATATTAGGTTTTTGTGTTTTTCATTTAAAAGTCTAATTATCATCTTATTTTCTGATTTTGTTTTCAGAACCTGCACCAGTCCCACCAATCCCTAATGAACAGCAGCTTGCCCGGTTAACTGACTATGTAGCTTTCCTTGAAAACTGATAATTCCAGTCACCCATTCATGACATCCTGTACACCTCTTAGACCGTTTTGATCTTAAGTTTATCAGTTTCAAATGTTGGAGTGTATGTGTTATGGGACATGCTGGTAAAAGATGGTATTGTAATTTTATCTTAATCTGTATGTACTGGAAAATTTAATTCCCATAATTACTAGCCAGTTGCACAGCACTATTATGTTTTAGGGTTTAAACTCCTGTGCTTTACAGTGAGGTAGGCACAGTCTATTCTAAATGTGCAAATGGAATGAAATGCTGTCAGTGGATTAAAAACCAAACTGAAAGAGCATGGAAGAATTTGTGTATGGACAGAAGAACTTGGGAAATATGCCTAAGAAAAGTCTTCTATAGGTATTGAAATCTGTTTACAAGGTAGTATTTCCTTGTTCATTTTTTGTGAAGTGTTGCCATTAGCTGCTCTATTTTTAGTTCCCTCATGAAAACTCCTTATCTAAGGCAGATTTTTAATGTTCTTTGTTTTTAATGTCCTATTTATTTTCTGTTGTTAACGCACTAAGAAGCCATTGTTAAGGGCTGTCGAGTTATTTACAATTCATGTAGCCAAAAGATGGCTTTCCAGGTATGCGAGATGGTGAAAGAGTGTTTTACCATTGTCACTGCCCCCTACCATCCCAGTTGGCTTCCATGGCTGAGTGGGGATTTTAACCCTGTAAGGTGTGTCCTTCTCAAAAATTTTACTTCGGTACCTATTAGGTCTTCTTCGAATTTTTTTGTTTTTTGGTGTGGGGTGTGTTTGGGGATGGGGGGAATACAGTTTCTATAAAACTTCATTGTTAATGGTAACTACATGGGAAAGTGTCATCATTGCTTAGGTCTGCGATCTTTCAAAAAGTGTCAGCTGTTGCATCTTTCAAACATGTAGCCTGCACTTGTTTTAAGTCAACAGCTGTGATTACTTTCCCTTGTGGCAGTTTTGGAAGACAACTGCTAGCACTAGAAAAGCAGGCCTCTGACATATATGGGTGAAACTATTTTACAACTTCAGCTTTGGGAGAACATTTCTAGACTGGAATTGTTATTTGCATTGTTAAAGCAAGACAACGCAAAAGCTGAGTGTGCTGCTTATATACCCATTTTCTCCTAGGTTAGAGCATACTGCTTAAAGCTGTCTCTGGGCAGTTTGGAATTTAATTAGGCAGGCTACGCATTGCTTCCCCTACCCATGAGCTGGGCACTCAATTTGCTGACCTCAGAAGTCAGTCTTGAGCCAGCTACCTGGGCCTGTCAGAATCAAACTCGGTTGTGAGCAGAGTCTTCACTGTCGTACTGCAAATTTAACTTGCTGCTCCACAGAATGTTAGGAGGAAGCAGCTTGCATTTCCTTTGCCTCTAATGCTTGCATTTAAGATTTCATCCTTAAAGTAGCATCCTGTTTTCTTCTCTCCCATTATTATGACCACCATTTAGTAGGTGGTTTTGTTTTAAATCAGATTGCTTTAAATCATGATTTAAATTTTAAAATCAAATTTTTTATTATTTAAAATTAAAAATCATTTTTCAAATTTAAATTGTGATTTAAATTAATTTGGTTTTTAAAATTATTGATTTTTATTCACCTTGTTTAGTAACATGTTTCTCAAATATTGTTATTGTTTGCCCTCCACAGTAGCATTTTCCTCCCAGTGCGTTCCTGTTGTACACAGTCCATGGGTATAATTGGCTACAAAGGGATTCCTCATATGCATACATTCTCTTTAAGATACTTTTCAGGAGCACAACCATTGATCTCAAACTATTATTTATTTGAAAATCATTTTAAATATTAGCTTTGTAAGTTATAAGCTTAATTTTGGTAATACTAAGAATGTTTACATCACTTCAGTATTTTACTTTCTTCAGAATTCTTTTTCTTTCTCCTACTGATGTGTTAGGTATTGTTATTTTCAGCACTAAGAGTAATATTAGTTATTCATGTTCCAGACATACACAAATTCTTTCTATTAAGAATGAGATTCTAAATATACAGTAGTCAGTTTTTTTAGTTTATTATTTTATATATAGCTTCCTTTTTCAGTGTAAAAGCCTTCAAAAAACAGAATTGAATTTAAACAGAGCACAGACAGAGTTCTGACTCCTGTCCTCTGAAGATGCCAGCCACAGAGACTGGCGAAACATTAGGAGGAACAACATTAATAACACGGCGAAACAGCCCGGAAAACCCACAACAACCATTGGATCCCAGCTGTGAAAGCCTTCGAGAATACACAGAATTGAATTTGTTTAGATTTGTTTTAATATGTTTGTTTAGGACTGCATTAGAAATATGGGGTGATAAAAAAAATTGGGCAGTAGGGAGGAAATTGTGCAGAGAACATTAACTCTAGAAGACTGAGAAAATAAATTTTGAAAAAGATAGAAAGGGCAACTTCAAGCACTCCTTTCAAAATGTTCAGCATGCTTTGTTTAATAAAACCTGAATAGGGCTTAAGAAAACATGTCAGGAGAAAAAAATTTAAAAGAGAGTGAGAGGCCTGTTTTAAAAAAACCTAGTCAGACTGTCTGAGGTGCCAGCTTCACAATTAGGAGATGAAACAGTTTTGCTTTCGGCACACATTTCTTTGAAGTTGCTATGTTTGCAGCGAAGGCCCTTATTTACTTCCTAGTGACCAGTCAACAAACAAAAGGAAGCTAATTTGGAATTTTTGAAGTCCCACAAACGTCATGGTAGGGAAAATGTCATATTTTAAGTATTTTAGGATTGATATAAAATACCTTTAAATAAGGATAAATATTTAACTATTCAGAAGTTTCATTTTTGTAATTATGAAGCTAGGGTCTTAACAAAATTTGGCTTCACAGTGCTCCAAAACTCGGTATACTTTTGCTTACATAATGCATTGGAATTCTACCTAGTGTTGGAGGAAGAGAGTTATCTGTGAATTTTAACACTTTGAAAATAATTTGTGGGTGCAAGATAATAAAATGAGTGAGTTGAAGGTTGCTGTAAATGTTCACTAATGTTTGTGTGTTTAACAAACTGAAGCCATCTTCTTTAGATTTTATCTTTTATTTATTTTATTTATTTAATTTATATCTTCTTTAGATTTTATCTTTTTTACCCAAATTTTCAGGATTTCATCTTCACTCTCAGGATGTTGAAGAGGATCCTGTTGAGGAAATGACTGCATCCTGTTTGGGTTCTAGAGTTGAGGATATTTGGGGGAGTGGGGTGTTTTTCACTGTTACATGAAATCCTTCAGAAGTGAAAGGAGCGGGAATAGTATTGTATTGGTAATGTGTATAGTAGGCAATGAATAACGGTCTCAGATATTTTTGCAGATCAGGTAACAGTAAGTATATTGTCTGTTGCCGATCCAAATTAGTGGGCAATGGAATGAGTTCCTTTTAAAAAGTGCTAACAAAGGGCTTCCCATTTCAGAGATATATGTGGTCCAAAAACATAATGTACTTACAAGACATCTAGCATAATTTTCTCAAGAGGCAACTTGGCAAACTGTAGTTATTAAACTGTTCCAGAGCAGACTAGCTAAACCATGTGAAACTCGCTATTACCAAAGAGCAGTACTGGACATACTGTACCTTCTGTGTCCTGGTCTAAAGGGATTTTGGTTGTTTACGCTTGGTAGCATTCACACTTCTCTGCACCTGCTAGTTAGCTCTGATTCCTCCTCTGGCAACCACTGGAATGGAATTCAGTTGTTTGAAGTTATTGAATAAACAGTTTGTGTTTGATTCATCTTAGTATGGGGCTGCTGAGAAAATGAATGAAGAATTTGCTGCCAAATCTATGACGAGTGTACTCTTTCCATCTGGAAAGACAGAGTCATCTTAGGAAAGAAAACAACTTGCTTTTCTTATGGATGTAAAAATACTACCCAGTTCAGAATCCAAGAAAATGGATACATGCTGTGTTGCCCCCTTCTGCAAGTACTTTTTTTAAAAATTATGTTAAGGAACTCAGGGCGAAACTATACATTACAGATAACCCTTCATCAGAGCTGCAGTTACCTTTCTGTTCATGAGATGTGCCTGAAAGAATCTTCCATGTCTGAGACACATTTTCAAAGAGCCCATTAATGGCCTGAAGACCCACGAAACAAAAACCAGTATCCTGTTCAGTATTACATGTTCTCAGAACTCTAGCTTCAGAAGCTGCAATGACCATCTGTGGTGCAGTCATATGTGACCAGGCAGATGACTAGAACCTTGTCCTATCTACATGGTAATTTCCACGGTTGGAATTGTGTTTTCATAATATTGAATTGAATACAGTAAAAGCCAACTGATTTGTAAAGTATGGGAGCTGAGAAAAGTTCCTGCTGTAACAATACCCACAATTCCCTCATCAAGTGACAAGTTATCAAACATTACCCTCAAGACAGTTTTACTAAGAAACCTTTAATCACCTGCCTATTGGGTTAGAAGTGCTACAAGTTTCTCTAGTGATGCCAATTAAATACTGTTTTGCAATTATCTCTGGTTTTGCAAGGTTTTTGTAGAAATTTTCCAACTTCAGCTATGCTCAGTGCATGACTATGCTATTAAAAGTTGTATCACAACAGAGTTGATATTATTTGGCCAGTATTATTTGGTCAGTATAAAAGGAAGAAGATGTAACTCAAGGTTCTTTTGTATCAGCTGAGGAAATAGCAAGAAGTAAAGCATTAATTTATGCTTTATTATATGCTGCCAACCTAGCAGTTCGAAAGCATGTAAATGTGGGTAGATAAATAGGTACCACCATGGCAATGGCGTTCCTTGTCTAGTCAGTCGCACTGGCCGCGTGACCACTGAAACTGTCTAAGGACAAACGCTGGCTCTACGGCTTGGAGACGGGGATGAGCACTGCGCCCTAGAGTCGGACATGACTGGACTAAATGTCAAGGGGAACCTTTACCTAAAGCATTAATAAGCAACATTTTCTTCGTATCAGTGGAGCATGACTGTAACCTGATTCACTGATGTTCAGAAAAAGTAGCTTATTAATTAATTTGACTTTAATCTGACCCCACTTGGCTGGACCTAGTGAGTTTACTAAATTTTCATCCCAGTTCTCAGATGGAGGACTGGGTTTTTTATGTTCCCCAACCAAGTAGAAACTTAGCGTTTCAAAGGCAGGCCAAACAGGGAAAGTGATCTCTCTGCTTCTTTTTTGAAGAGTGGGTGTGATATCCAGCTTTGTCAATTGTAACCTTAAAGCAACAACTCCATTGCAGCCTGCTTCTTTCCTAAGTTACATCTAAGGTAAACGCCTGTCAAAATTCATCGGCCATGAACTTTAGGGGCTCTTAGCTTCTTTCTTAGCAACAAGACACTGGTACAAGCCTGAGGAAGTGGACTTTATGAACCAAAAAGTTAGCAGCCTGTATGATTTCTTTAATGGTCTATAAAGGCTGTATGATTTCTTTAATGGTCCGTTCAAAGGCTTTCAATGGAGAATAAAAAAAAATCACCAAAAATTAACAACGACTCAGAACAACACCAAATTAAGGTTGCATAGGGTTCAGGAGGTGGGCTAACGATTGCAAGCATGTAAAACAGGTTCCAAACATTGTAAGACACTTAAAAATGAGCGAAAACGGACATCGGAAAGGACTTCAAAAGCACTGAAACCGGCTTCAGTGCTTTTGAAGTAGGTCCCATGAGCATATGTAACTTCTGATGGTGTTAGTTTGACCGTTGGTGCTCGGGGAAAACACTGCAGGCAGTACATGGCCACAAAACTGAAGCCATGCATACATACAAATAGCGAGAGCATACGTATGTTTGTTTTAGATGACATTGTGACATGATGTTTTCATCTACAAAGTTCATGCTCGAGT